TCTCTCTCTCTCTCTGTCTCTCTCTCGCCTCCTTAGGCCTACACTAAAGCCTACTTTGAAACTAACGATAAGATAAGAGAAGTAAATGAATAATACAAGAGAAGAAAAAATTACTATACACTGTATTAGTTTACACATTGTGTATATTGTCGTACACTATACACAAACACACATTAAATATCCTCGACATTCAGTGTTTGACATTCAGTTTGAGAATGTTTTGTGAATTTTTTTAGGTTTTTCATCAAAATTTGCGAATTTTAATTCATCGACAAGTGATTGGTATCGCTAACGACTGCACGAATTCATTAATTCCTGTGTTCACTATATATAGTGTACAACACATTCACTATATTTGAATTTTGATATCAATTTAAACGTTGAAAGCGATTGTGTATCCAATGTGTAATACAAATGCTATTTAATGGCATTGAATAGAGACGATGACAACCAATAATCATAATAAGGATAATATTGTTAATAATGACAGCAATCATAATGTAATTGATTCCAAGTATAGGGGAATAGCCATCCCTTTGGTTCCAATTTCACGCTTTTTGATCGAAAAGTTGAGATTTCATTCAAAGAAAACTTTTTTGGTAAAAGTTATTCGCGATTTCATTGCAAAAACATTTTAAAACATTTAACTTTTTATGTATTTATAGTTAGAAAATGAGACAAAAAATACGTACACTTTCGACGAAGTGGCTGATGATAGCCTACGTATGGCTACAGTATTGTCGGCCAATGGACTGAAAGATGGCCAACATTTCGGTATTTGCGGTCACAATAGTTACGAATTTATTACTACATTAATCGGTGGCTTAATTGCTGGCGGCGTTGCCGTACCGGTCAATGCACACACACCTCTCGGTAATTCACATATTGTCTCGTATTAATTGAGTTTTATTTTATTGCGAGTTGCAAAACTAATTTTTTAATTAACTTAACATGTTAATTTTAGATACAATATCGCAATTAATTAAACGAAAACATATAAACTATATGACAATCACAACACGTAACCAAAAGTCATTGTCTAACCAAACGCTCAAAAGATTTCAAAAAGGATTAAAAGTACGATAAATCTGTCTAAATATACAATGGATTTAATTTATTATTAAATCCTTTCAAGTTTTAACAATCTTTTTATTGTTTCGTCTATTATATTGTCAGACAATCGTCTCATTCGCCGAAGAAGTGAACGACTCGTCCACTGATACGGGCGTTGAAGTGGAAGATAACACAGAGAGGGATGAGTACCAGTCGTACAGAAGTCACATAACTAGTCACGAATGTAAGAACGAGTCACACATCGGTGTCATTAAGTCAATTGATCCCAAGACGAAGAACTGTCTGCTCATCGATA